AAACTCCCCACCCATCCCCCCCCCTCAACCCCCCAGTTTCAGGACAGAATTTCCCACAGTCCATTTGCGAGCCCGGGATCAATAAAAAGCGCGCATTTAAAGACCAAGCAGCCCTCGGGGCTCCCTCTCTGTTGAGAAGGATCCATTTTCAAGCTGGCGGTCATGTTTGCTCACGCCTGCACGCCTTCAACATGAGCAGCCGGTGGCTCCCACCCCGAGCCCATATCCTGGGAAGCCTCCCTCGTTTCTGAGGAACTCGAGGCTGGCTTACTGAGCCAGGGCAGGCCACAGCAGAAAATCCCCGAGATCAAGAGGAGGGAGCTTGGGGCCAGTGGAATGAGAGCTAACGGCACGGGGACGTCAGGGTGGAGAACGGTTAACAAGGACTTGGGGCTTTGGGACGTGACAGACCAGGTTTCAAATCCCAGCTATCATTTGCCAGGGGGCTTACAAGGGGCTCCCCGCTGTTCTCAAATCTACACCTGCTCATCGTCAACAGCAGTGATAACAGTGCCCAGCCAAGGGTTCTGCTCCCTGAAACCCCAGACGTCCCCTGCCCGGACTAACCTCAGGGTGTTCTTTTTCCAGTCTGCATCCAAGGGACCAGTGTGGGTAGCCTAGTTCCCTCCCCAGCAGCCACTACAAAATGCCCTTTATCTTATCATTCCAAACTTTGCGCCGAGAACCACAGGAACTGTGGGGCGGGCTGCACCACGGCCAAATATTTCTGGGGAGTGGCTGGGGCCTTGGATATGCGGATACCCACCTATAAACACCTCTTCTCAACTAAGCACAAGAGAAGGGAACCAACGTTTACTGAACGCCTGGCACTTTCCAAATCTGATCTCTGACCCTTCCAACCAGGTGGCAAAGGAAGGGTCAGGCCCATTTTACAGAAGGCAAACTGATACTTGGCGGGCTGGACTGGGCAGCCAGTGGCTTGCCAACTCCAGCCAATAGAGCGCCATCTGGACTCCGCTCTGTCAACCGCCGGTCTTATCCAAAGAGTGTTCCTAGGGAGACCCTCAAAGGCAAGAAGGGCCAGCGGGGGCGACAAAGAGCAAAAATCTGACCAGCTCGCCTATCAGTATGAACTTGGCTTTCGGGCCACAGCTGGCAGTCAACAGAACACAGGGGGAAGGTCTATGGTTCTGGTTGGAGGCCTCAAGAGGCAGTAAACGTGAGCAACCGGGGCTTAGGGGCCCCGCTCTTCCCCAACGAAGCTGCAAATGGCAAACCGGGCTCACCCCAAAGTCAATGGCAACCAGAGCCACCGCCACTCTGGTGGCCCCCGAGGGTTTGTTTCTCAGCTCTGCGTGAAAGGCTGGGATCCACTGGTGGTCACATCAGCTGGATCATCTACTGGTAGGTGGCTCATGGAAGCTGCTGGTGGGCAGTGGTCCCCAGTGCAGCCTAACCCCAGATGCCCCGAGATGCCAGAGCAGAAACAAAAGCCCCGGGGGTCCCCATGCAGAGACCCAACCCGGCCCAGCCCGGTAGCTCAGGCTCTTTTAAAACACGGGAGCTCACAGCTGATCTCCCCTGTCTTTCATTTTTAAAGAAATTATCATCGTTAGGCCTTATTACGAGGAAAAAAATGATACATGGTCAGAAAATATTAAAAATGAGTACGGATTTACAAGTTTTTCTTAAAAGATTACCCTTCAATCCCACTCTCTAGAAGATTCCACTCTGAGTCGCTTTAGACTTTCCTTAATGGAGATCTACAAATTGTGACTCTATTCCTAAGTAAATAGGCTCTCGCGAACCTTACTACTAGACAACTGGATTTTTAATTTAAGACTGTTAGGCACAAATCAACACATCCCTTCCAATGGCTACCCACCGTTCCCCGGTGTGGGCCAACGATCCAACTGTATCTACACGCCCAGTTTTAAGAGGAGTCTGAGCCAGCAGCCCTGTGGTTTTAGACCAGTTGCTGGCAGGCCCTTTAATTCTGCCAGCGTTAACTATTTAGTAAAATCCCAGAAAGCAACGCGTGAGGTATTTAATCCACTTTTTACAGTGCCTGGCCAGTAAGATCGCCGGAGGGAGCGGAGAGGAGAGAAAACGGCTTCAGAGAAGGAGCTGTGTGGGTACAAGGCTGGCTCCTGCCATGAGCAATTCGGTTTCTGTAATAAGAGCTTACGAAGGATCTGTGCTCGGGAGAAGAGGTCGTTGAAGAGCTCCAAACACCCTGATTCGTACCTTACCAGGTAAGCTCGGCCCTCTTACCGAACCTTCTAGGCTGCCCGGCCGGTTCAAATACCACCTCCTCTGGAAGTTTCCCCCAGCCTCCTGGTCAGGACGCATGTCTCCCTTCTGATTCTAACAGCTCAGACACCAGGGCCAGCGTGGACGTCCTGAAGGGTAGAAGCTGGACGTCCACCTTATCAGCCATGAGACCTTGGTTGAGTCAGTGGACCTCTCTGGGCCTCTGTTCGTGGTCTCATCGTGCACGGACCCCATGCATTACACTACGTGTCAAGGCAAAGTAGGTCCTCGAGAAACGTTAGCAAGAACTGTGAATGGATCACAAATACAACCATTTCGTTCGTCTTTATGTGATGCCTGGCAGCTTGGGAGCTCCAGGAAGACAGGGACCTGGTGTTATCCGTCCCCGCACCGCTGAAGGTGCCCGGCAGGTTGGCTCAGTGCACAGTTGCTGGGTAAATAAGTGATAATGTTGAGTAGACATTCAGAAGAAGTCAACCGAGTGGCTCTGTCCGAACGTGACCACCTCCCAGATCCGCGCCTCCTCTCCAAGGCCCAGTGAGAGGCAGCTGGAACAGTTTGTGGGGACAAGGAGCACCAGTGGGGTGCCCTGCTTCCTGGAAGCGTAAACCAGTGAGCCAGCATCAGAAACAAAGGCTATGGTGGCTGCCTGGCGATCTGCCATAGCACGTCAGGCGTCAGTGTCTTCTCTACAACAGAGGAAAGGAGATTTCCATAATACTTCTCATCTTCGAGTACAAAAGCACCCCCTACACAGCCAGAAAGTCGCGCCAGGTCTCCTCTGCATGGTTTGAAGGCACGGTCAGGAGTGGTCCAGAAGGTTCCGGGAAGCAGGGACTTCAGGAGCCGACCTCCAAGGCTTCTCTCGCGGGGCAAGGGCAGATGTCAGCGCTTGCTGGGCGTAGCATCTGCTAATAGCAGTCTCGGTTGCAACAGAGAGCGAAACGAAATTCTCTCCCCAACATGGCAGGGGAAGCTGGCTGGCGGTGAGCCACCTGCCTCGCCGTCCCGTGTCGCAGCCCCAGACCCTCTGCAGGCGGGACGGCAGGCAACACTTCTGTCCCCTGTGGCATGTCCCTGACTTCAGAGGACGACGTGCTGAAATACAGTGCCCCGTGAGCACTGGCGGCGGCTGGGGAGAGAAGGGAATCAAGTCCACCGTCCAAGAAGGGACTGCGCTCACCGCTTTGCTGCAGCCTGTCTCCAGTCTCTACCATTCCTTCCCATGCCGAGACTTCTCCATCTGGGATGTGAAAGGAAGTTAGCAATCCCTCCTCCACCCCCAGCCCCGAAGAGGGACTCAGCGTCTGGAACCAAGCCCACTCAGGGGTGCTCATTCACGCCAGAACACGAGCCCGTCACAGAACGCGTCCCGCGGGCTGTAAGCGAATCCCTTGTTCCACACGTGTGTCACGTGCCCGCGCCCTGGGCTCAGAAGGTATGGCCACTTACAGGACAGGCTGACAGGGAAGCTCGTCCTTGTAGAGGATATGTAATTGGATTATGCACATCACGCTTTAATGCCTCTGCTGGCTGATTTAATGCTTCGCTTCTCAGGTTCACGGTTTGGGTTGAACTTAGTGAAGTTGTCTAAGCACCTGCTGAGCCAAAGCCCACGGAGGACGCCCACCAGAGGAAGCACAGAGGCCGAACTGCATTCAATGAACGCTTGGCACCCTCCCAGCATTGCTGGGAGAGCAGCCCTGGGCCTTCCCCCTTCCTTCTAATCGCACACGGCCGGTGGGCCCCAGGGCTCCACGCCGAATTGAGCTTCCGTGCTCCGTGATAGCTTTCGGAGCCCCCAACAACCCTTGTTATCCTATTTCAGAGATGGGGAGGCAAGCAGAGCCAGGACTCCGAGCCACCGTGCCCTCTCCCCACTGCGCCGCCGGGCCGAAAGAAGCTGATGTATTCTAAAGCACGATCTCTGCACCTTCTTCCTCGTGGAAAATTCAGTCAACTGAATCCTGCACATCTACATCCTAGAGTGAATGCAAAAAACCTCAGGTATGGCTTCCAAATGCCATGTCGTTTGTGACAGGCTACAATCTCCCTCTTCGTCCTCCC